CTGTGAGACTCTGGGCACGTGAACCTTGCTTCGAATCGTAGTATGTATTTCTCGAATAGGTTCTTCAAAAGTATGTAAACCCTGTGGAGCTAAGAGAACTTTGCCAAGCAAGTTAGAGATTCCAGCTTACAAGCTTCTCTTCTAGTAAACACAGCACCTAAAGAGATCCTTCCCAAATTTTAGGTGTATGTTACCTTTCATCATACTAAGGTATGGACTCTTGTCCTCAAACTCATCAATTCAGAATGATGTTGAGCAAAGGGTCTTAAAAAAAACAGGACATAAGCATACAACACCTATTTACTCTTTCTTCTCTATTCATACGTTTGCTAAGTCAGATTAACTGTTCCTCATTTACAATTCCTAATATGGGTACAATCACCACATTCAGTTGCCCATACTCTCGATTTCTGGTAAAGCTCTTTAAAAAAAAAACAGTAATAATATAATTGTAAGCTAAAAAATAATTTCATTTTTTTACGGTCAGAGAGTGGGTAAGGAAATAAGATTCAACATTATTCAACTAATGGAAAGTACTTATTGCTGAGTGGTGTTTGGCATACCTCCAGAATTCATTTGCAATGCACAGCAGGATACCAACAGTACTTATAAAGTACACTTTTGGATCTGAGGAGACCCTTGATCACTTTCATATGAAATTACAATGGGAATGCTTTTGTCACTACAAGAGGAAGAGCAGCCTTCCTGCATCGATGATCACTTAAATCAGCTACAGTGCTGTGAAATAATCCTTGATCACAAATTCCAGCGAAGGACACAGGAGAAGAAAGCTGCTCTTATGGGAAACATTTGAATATCTATAATCCTATCAGATGTGATAACCAATGATTAATGGATGAATTATAAGCCTGCCCTTTCAAGTATCTCTATTATAAACAGAATAATTTTAGCAGAACCTTGAAATCAAAGTTATCAGTTTAACAAGATGTGGTAAGGCTACAGAAAAATTTCAATGCATACTTTCTCTCTTTTAGATCACCTCCAAAAGGAGAGAGATTAGTTATTTGTGAAAACCTTATTCTCCTTCTCACCAAGGACTTCCTAGTTTTCCATGTTAACCTTCACTACTATGTAAGTATATCTGAAAGGGTACAGGTATTACTAGCATTATTATATAGCGTTATACTTCAGTAAATTGATGTATAATTATCTGTACTGCTCAGCACCGATCTTGAAGTTCTCAATCCAAAGACACAAAAAGGCTTCTTGCAAAACATAATTTAAGGTTCAGAGAAGAATAAGGAGACCAGGTCGGTTTAGTTCACCACCATATCCTCAATGCCAGCGAATACCGTCAATAAAAATGTACTGAGGGTTAACCAGGTACCAGGCCCTGCACTAGGTAGGCAACTGGAATTAACAGTACACAAGACAGTCTCCACTCTCAGAGACTAAGACCACAGGGGAGACTTGACTAGTACTGTAAAGAAAAAGAAGAGTGGAAAATAGGCTAGCCTAATAACCTAACAGATTGGAAAAGACAAGATTTACTTCTATTCCTCCAGATGGTCACCTGGCTGGCCTCATTCCAACCCACAGGTCTCTGCTCGAATGTCCCACAACAATGGAAGGCCTTCTGACCACATACTGTCAAGGAGAGTCACCCCCCCTCACCCAATCCTATCACTTGCTCATTCTTCCTCATTACCTGCTTCATTTTCTTCACAGTGCTTACCACGATCTGAAATTACATTATTTACCTGTGGAGCTGTCTCCCCCCACTAAAATGTAAGCTCCATGAGAGCAGGGCCCTCTAGTCAGCCCTTTCACCTAGAGTAGTGGCTAGGACACAGCAGGCATTCAATAAACATTTGTGCGAGAGAGGGGCTCCAACCAGTGAAGTACACACTCAGGATATTTATATGGGTCTTTTCCCACCCAGAAAAGCCTCAACCCTATAAAAACCAGACGTGAAACTAGTTATAAGAATCACTAACCATAGAAGAATTCTGAAATGTATGATATCACAATGGGAACATAGTGAGGCAATGATGCTAGGAAAGGATTTTCATCCACTACTCTCTTTATAATGCCTCTATATGGCTTTTCTTCAGAAAATCATATAGCTTTTCTCCAGAAAGTTCTCTAGTCAGTTATAGTTCATTCAAATAAATATCAGCATAATTTAATCTCTGTGAAAAAGACCCATACATAGACTCTAAGAATTCTTTTCTATACTTACTCTAAAGCAGCAATTTTTAAAAAGTTACCAGTAGAGCTGGGATAGAGAGAGAAAGTTACGAAGTGAAACTGGCACAGCTAGAGCACTCATGCTAACGAGACTATAAGTTCAGGACAGATCCTCCTTCACTGGTACCCTCTGCAGTGCCCAGGAACAGCACGAGATTCACAAGAGGTACTTTACAAATATGTATTGAGTTCTCAAACACCTATTCTTGGTATCCATTTTGACATATAAAAGTAACGGGCAAAATCCACCAAGCAACTGGAGACCTCCTAAATTCTTAAGAGAGAAAGCCACATGGAAGGAGTCTGAGCTCCACACTGAACCAACAGCTGTCAGAAAAAGCAGCTGTATGGAAGAGATCGTTTCTATTTTATCCTGGTTCCTTTTAAAAATCTGATCTAGGCACGTTATTAACCTTTACTCCTCCAAATCCCGCTCTGAACTTGGAAGTGGAGGGAATCAATCTTGGAAATCTTCCAAGCGGATGAATCTAGTTAGTCCCAATCAATAAATGGCAAACTCGCAGATGAGCTGATGGGTTCTTTTATGTGCTTCTTTTTGCCTGTTTATTTTCTGCAATGAGCAAGCATTGCTTTTGTAAAAACAAAACAAAAAAGCTTTCATTAAAAAACAAAAAAAACTTTACTGACACGAAAGCCAACAAGTTAGGACAACTATTATTTTTTTTCACTTTCTCTAAACAATAATAGTGTTGTGTTTCTGCAGATTCAATTGGCAGTGAACTACTGGTTAACAGATGCCTTGGTCAGATGTGTTCTAGTCACTGATAAGGTGCTTTTCGTTCTAAACAATCCTCTCAGGGTCGCACGGCCCTCAGTAAGTGCTTCACACTAGGGTTAAGGCTTCAAATTGTGTTGGAGCAGAGTCTCCATGGCCCCCTTTCAGAAGGGCTACAGAAGTTTCCTGCACTGTGCAGACAGCTGGACTAGATCAGGGACTCTCAAACGTTCTGGTGTCAGGACCCCTTACTCTTATCCACTGAGAACCTCAAAGAGCTTTGGTTTATGTGAGTTATATCTACTGGTATTTGCCACATCAGAAATGAAAGCTGAGAAGTGAATAAAACACAACATCAGAGCCATCAGAGCGGTGACGTCATCACACATTATGTAGCCTCTGGAAAACTCCACTGTCCACTGGTAAGAGGACGCGAGTGAAAGACAAATAACTTCTCAGTATTATTCTGGAAATAGTTTTGATTTGACAGACTCCCCGAAAAGATCCTTGAGAATCACTAGATTAGATCATCAAGAACCCTTCCAATGCTATGGCTCTGGAGCAAGATTTCTCAACTGTGGCACTATTGACATTTTGAGGTGGCTAATTCTTTGTTGTATGTGTGGGGGGGTGCCCTTTGCATTGCAGGATGTTTAGAAGCATCTCTGGCCTCTACCCACTAGATGCCAAAAGCAATGCCCAGTTGTGACAACCAAAACTGTATCCAGATATTGCCAAATGTCCCCTGGTTAAGAATCCACTGTTCTAGGGTGCTGATTTTATTCTACGCAAATGTGAATTACAAAATATACACCTGTCACTGCCTTCTCAGGCCCCTTATATCTATTTCCTCTCCACTCCCATCTGGGTCTGTTCCTTCTGTTCTTTTATTAGGTCACAAACAGCAAGTGTCAGTGGGTATCAACAAGCATAGGATGAATCTGGTCAGGAAGAGACATTCTGGTCAAAGTTCACCTTTCAAGCATTAAAGCCCTCAGGGACCCATTGCTTATGTGGGGGCAGGGGGGGAAGCACAAGCATCCAACACTCATCTAGCCATTCTTAGGACCCAGTGCCAACCCAATCCTTAGGAAGTAACCTACCCTCCTCCTCCAGAAACGAAATAATAGGCCAGTTGTGTAATACGGGCGAAGAAAATGAGCTTCTGAAAGCCAAGAGGCGGTATACAAGACTCAGATACACCACCTCGAAAACCTCACATCTGGGAGGCCCACACAACCGAAGCATCTGGGGATTTTTTTTGTCAGGGTCTGGCTGGGAGGAAGTAACAAAACTGGAAGAAAACCGACATCTTCAACACCTCCAAATCAGATATTCACTCCCCACCAAAGTTCCCCCTCATCCCTTTAGTCTCCAGAGGCTGGGTCCGAGTTTTCTCGCCTGGAAATTGCCCCAGCCGCCTTCAGTCTCTTTCCCCTCAAAACTCCAACTACCAAACTCAAATCCAGCATCATTCCTCATCTCTTTAATCACCATTCCTCCACAGCCTCAAATTCCTCCCCACAAAAGCCCCCAACGCTCTCATTGCCCCTCAGACTCTACTATCATATCTGCCCTTCCCTTCCCCCGAGCTTCTCCACGCAGGCAGTCTCTTCCCCTCCCAATTTTTCTCTCTCGCCCCATAGTTGTCCACCATCTTCAAAACACTTCCCTGATCCTAGAAACCAGGACTCTCCTAATTGTCTCTGCCACCCCAGAATCTGCACGTACCGCCCTCCTACGCTCACTCCTTAGTATCTTCCCCAAGTTACTCTTTCTACCCCGATCTGCTCCACTCCTCACTCTTCCCTACCTACTCCCTCGGCGACCACCCTCCTTACTTGCCCCTTCTTACTCTCACGGGCCCTTCTTCCCCGCCATCCCTTGGTCAGGCCTTTTCTAGGTCGCCTCCCCGGGCCAAGCGCCGCCGCCCAGTGTCAGCCGTTCAGCCTCTCAACGCCCTCCCCGCGAACCAGTCTTTCGGGTTGTGGCCTTTGAACGGGGCGCCCCCGGGCCAGGATGAGGGACTAGGCAGGCGGGCCCGATAACTCACCCAGGACGAGGAAGAGCAGAACGAGCCCCGAGCCCGGAACCGGGGTGAGGCGGAAGCACACCATGATCCCGCAGAACAGGCGGCGGCGGCGGCGGCGGCAGCAACAAGAGCAGCAACACCAGGGAAAAGGCTCCCGGAACTGGTGCAGGAGCTCCGCCGACCACCGACCACAACGATGCGAAAGCCAGGAATAGGAGCTTGAGCGCGGGTCATAAGACTAGGGGCGTGGCTCTTTCTTGTCTTCAGCCAATCTCTGCGCTTGAAAGCAGCGAGAGGGGTGGTGCTGTAAGGTTCGGTGGGCGGGGCGACCACGCCCTGGCTTTTTGGTTCACATTCACCCTTCCGCTCCTAGGAGATATGCGCGGACGGCCTTTTCTCTGTAAGGCTACAGAGAAAGGATGAGTTTAGGGGGATGTAGATAGCAGATATAACTTCAGTTCCGACTCCTTGAGGAAGAAGAGAATAATTTTGTTGGAATACAAATGGTTGCTAGGCATTACAACGTAATACATACGAAAACAATACATGATTATTCTCCAAACACTATTATTACCTATGCAGTTCATGCCATTACATGGACAAGAGAGCTAGGGGGTAGTACAGAGTCACTGACCGCCAGAGCACGATGTGGCCATAAAGTTCATCTAGTTACAACACCCTGTTTTTCAGATGGGGAAACTGAACTCATAAAGAGGAAGAGTCTTCTTTAAATACAGAAAGAAAAAAAATGAGAAAGAGAGAAATAAAATAGAAAGATAAAGGGAAAAAAACCCAGAGTGTTCATTTTCCTACTACCCAGAGAGAGACACTGTTATCTATCTATCCATCCTTCCATTTGTTTTTCCTATGCATATACACATGTAAATATTCTTTAATGAGTTCATACTAAACATACTATTTGGTATACTTGACAGCTGAACAGATGAACCCTAAAATATTCAACAAATGAAAGCATTCAAAACTATAAAAATCTCAAGTTGGGATAAAGCACTGATTCTCAAATGTTTGTTTCTAAACGAATCATCTGAGGATTTTTAATAACATACAGATTCCTGTACCTCATTCCTCAGAGATTCTGAAACAGTAGGTCTATGGCAGTCCTAGGAATCTGTTTTTATTTTTTTAACAAGTACCCCAAGTGATTCTGATTCCTATGGTCCCTGCACCACATTTTGAGAAACACTAAAATAGAGCTTCAAAATCATCTAGTCCAGATCTTAATCTGGGGTCAATGGAAGAACTTGGGGGGTTGATGGCTGTGAATCCCCACAAATTACATGCAACAATTATGTACGTGTATTTTTCTGGGGAAGTTTATAGCTTTTACTAGTTCTAATGGGACCCGTGACTCCTCCCTCTAACACCCTCCCCCGCTCAATATTAAGCACCACTGATCTACCCTCACTATTATTTGCTTTAATGTGATTAATTCCTGAAAGTGAGAACACTTATTGGTGAATGTCTTCCATCATGGGTGAAACTGAGTCATGAGCAAGTGACTTGCTCTATGAGGAACTACGTACACTACAGTATTCAGCACTGCCTTTAGCAAAAGAAGGTTACTTGACTGCCCCGCCATCAATAAGACTTGGCAGGAGCTGTGTCCTGGAGAACCAATGATTGAATTGAGCTCTCAGAAGCCGCCCCACCAATGCTTACTGATGGACTCTGTCCCTTCTCCCTCAACTGTAAATTGCATAACTTTAATGTTCAGCAAAACCCTAAATTCTAGAAGAAGAGACAAAAGAGCATAGTGGAAAGAACATTGGATTGGCAGTCAGTAGAGTTGGGTGTGAGATACCACTTACAAGCAGCGTGACCTTGGGCGAGTCGCTTCATCTCTTTGAGCTTCTGTGTCTTTATCTGTAAAATAAAATAGTGAGACTAGAGCTGTTTCTCAATCCTGGATGCACATTGGAATCACTGTGGGGCTTTAAAACTAGAGATACCCCTTGGTCCCACCCCTTGAGATTCTGATTCAGTTGGTATGGAGTGGGGCCTGGGCATTGCATTTTTCTCAGAACTCTCCAAGGCAATATTAATAGGCCAGAGATGATCTAAGGTGGCCCCAGTTTTACTATTCTAGGATTCTATAAGAGTAAATGCTAGCTAGTCAAATATCAGGTTTAATAAATTGTTGCCCTTAACCTCTTGCAGACGTCATCAAATAAAAAACTGGAGCCCAGTGAGACATGAGCTGCCTTATAAGCTAAACTCCCCCATCACAGCCTTTTCCCCAGACAAAAACAAATCTGGTTCCTTGACTGGGACAGGCACCTTCATGAGACAGAACAATGTTTTGGAAGTGGTAGGTAAACAGTGAGTATTTTGTCAGAATAAATAGGCTAAAAATTCTCTAACCTTTGTTTGGTTTGAGCTTCCATACTCACAATTATTTGTTTTCCCCCAAACACTGTGAGAACTACTCCCTTTTGTGTGCACTGTCTCCCATTACCTCTGCCCAGCTGAAGGAGCTCGCACCAGGCTCTTCTGTGGTCGACACAGACGTGTATGTGAGACTAGGGCAATGTTTGAGGAACTCCGTGAGATCCCCTCCGATCTGAGCCTCACATCTGCTGCATCCAGAGTACTTTTCTGTGCACTTCCTCTCCTACCATACCTCCTCATACCTCTCCAGTGCGCAAAACTCCTCACCCACCCCCTCCACCACCCAGCTCCCGCCACCATAGGTAGATTACAATTCTTTTGAGCAGCTTTGAGAGCTCGTGACTTTTTGGCCAGGGAGCAGGGAATCACTGGCAAAAACTTCCCTAAATGTGAACATGCTGAATGGTGTGAGAAATAATGACCCGATCAGATTTGGTAAATGATAGACAATGAAATCTGTGAGTCAGAGGAAGGAAATGGACATAACAATGCAGAGGTTTAGAATGGAAAAATGATAAATGCTTATTAAATGAAAGAATGAGTGGCCCTGAGGTATTACTGTCATCTACTTGCCATCTCATGATTTTTTTTTTATTTGCGTTCTCTCTCTGCCATTTTTCCTTTCCCTACTCATTCTCCTTTTGGTTTCTCCTACACTCTTTTTTCTCTTCTCCCTCTAGCATGTCCACCTTTTCTGGATAATGCCTCCAAACTGCGACAGTATGGTCATTGCTCAACCCCAACAGAGAGGTCACAGTGGGCTCCAGGGGCTGCCCTGGAGCTAGAGCTTGCTGGGTGAATGGAGACGTGCCATTTTGAGTTATCAGTTTTCCCCAGCAGGATTCTTCTCGACCTCCGCCTATAGGATCTGGTCTAACCTGCTAAAACGAAATGGTTCTCAACTTTGAGCGTGCATCAAAATCATCGAAAGGGCTTTTTAAAACACAGATTACTTGGCCCCACTATGGAGTTTGAGCAGGTCTGGGGTAGGGCACGAGAATCTGCATTTCTGGCAACCTCCCAGATGATCCCGATGTTGCTGTTCTGGAAACCACACTCTGAGTAACGAGGTCCCAAACTCAAATCCGTGGTCACCTGTCCTCCGGGGAATGGAGTTAAGAGGTGAAGGAGAGGGACTTTCATTAACTTCTACAGTATTTAAATTTTTACAGCAATTGGTTTGTTTTTGTAATAATGATTTTTAAATTAATGAATGCAAATCATTTAAAAAATCAAATAATTTAAAAAGGTATAAAATCAAAAGGAAGCATCGCTGGACCCCAGTCCCACTCCTCAAAGTAATAACTGTTAACAGTCTCTTTTTTTATACTCTTGGGAAAAACATTATGAGTGTACCTGCATATATATTTATATTCTTTTTTTTAATTAGACAAATATGAGCATGCTCTGTATATTGTTTAGTAATTTGCTTTTCTCAGTGGCATGTCTTGAAGATGTTCCTTAAAAGTCAGATAGCTTTACCTCATTGTTTTAAGTGGCTGCATAACCCGTAATTGTGTAGCTGTACCATAATTCATAGAAATACAGATTCTTAAACCCCTCCTCAAATCCCAAAACACCTAGATCTGCCTGCAGCATCATCGTGTGGTTGACGTAGGAATTGCATCACAGAACAGCACCATTAATATAAGGGAATTTTAATAAACCATTTAGACCTAATGTCCATGTTTTGAAGATTGGAAACTTGCCACTGGATAAGCATTGCTGGTGCGGCCAGAGCAAAGTGGGGTCCAGCAGCTGTGATGCTGAAGTGGATTTCTGGAACCCACTCAGCCATCAAATGATCATGCAACCTTAGGAAAGTCACTTCATGCTCTTCGTGCATCTGATCTCCCACTCCACACACAAATGAAGACTCTCCTCTGCCCCACCCCTCTGACTTAGAGGAGACAAGGACATAGTCAGCTGATGCCAAGAAGTTGCTTCTTAGAAGAGGGCAAAGTTAAAACACTAATTGGTCTCCTGTATCACTTTAATCATTTAAAGAGGGGCAGAACAGTGTAGTAGTTAAGAGCCAGGGCTCTGGCACTGGACTGCCTCAAGTTGATTCCTGCCTTTACCACTTACTAATTGTGTGACCTCTGGGCCTCAGTTTCCTCATCCATAAAATGGAGATGATAATGGTAGTACCAATCGTGTAAGATTATTGTAAGGATTAAATGAGGTATGTGGGAAACACTGACACGTAGTAAGCACTCAACAAATATCTTCATTGCTGTTATTAGTAGCAGTGATTGTAGTGTTCCTTTCTCTTCCTGTCAGTGTGTCACAGACCCAAAGAAGTTCTCACTGGTGCTCACTGATTAAGGGAGGGCTGTTGCTGTCCTTCATATTTTAAAATTCTTTCTATAGAAATGTAATATATGTCCACTGAAGAACATTTGTAAAACACTGCTAAGCACAAAGAAGAAAATTAAAATAATCTGTAGTCCTACTTCTGCCTAGAACATTCTTTTTCCTCCCACCTCCTCCAACACCAAACTGGCTTCTGCTTCTCTTTCAGGTGACGTGACTTTCTCAAAGAAACCTTCTTTAACCAGCCAACGCTGAATTAGGGGGGTTTCACCAATGTTCTCCTCTAATACCCTGGACTTCCCTCATCAGGGCTTTCATCACACTGTAATTGTCTGCTCACTGGCCCAGACCCCAGAGTAGCCTGGGAGCTTCTTTAGGGCAGAGAACATGGCCATTTTTTTCACCAATCTATTCTCATAGTAAGTGCTCAGTAAATGTTTATGGAATTCATGAATGAATGGCAGAGCAAAAAATAGGTTCTGGCTTTTGGAGACCATATGACCTGAGCTGGCGGAATGGTCTC